CACCAATTGGGGATTTGAATCCAGGTTTTCCTCAGTTTTAAACTAACCAACTATTGTAGGCTGAGCATTCCTGATCTGAAATGAAATGGATTTTTAAAAGATTTTGGAATGCTTGTACTTGCATATACATACATAATGAGCTATCTTGAAGGACAAAATCCAAATCTAAACATAAAAATCATCCATGCTTCACGTAGGCTTTATATACATAGCCTAAAGGAAATTTTATACACAATATTTTTAAAAAATGTTGTGCATGAAACAATGTTTGTGTACACCAAACCATCAGAAAGGCACAAGTGTTACAATCTCTGCCATTAAGTGGATGATTTGGGAGGAGATTCTTTCAGAGTTTGCAATTTTGGGTAAGTCATATTCAACCTGGACACCATGTGCTTTCTTAAGATCAATTACAGCCATTGTATTGTCGAAGGCTTTCATGGCTGGAATCACTAGGTTCTTGTGGGTTTTTTCGGGCTATAGAGCCATGTTCTAGAGGCATTTCTCCTGACGTTTCGCCTGCATCTATGGCAAGCATCCTCAGAGGTTAGAAGGTCTTTTGGAAGTAGGAAAAATGGGTTTATATATCTGTGGAATGGCTGGGGTGGGGCAAGGAGCTCTTCCCTGCTGCAGTTAGGTGTGAATGTTTAGCTGATCACCTTCATTAACATTTGAAGGCTTGCCTGAGCCTGGGAAAATCTGTTGCTGGGAGGTGTTAATCTGTGCCTGGTTTTTTCCTCTCTGTTGTTTAGCTGTTATAATTTTAGAGTTTTTTAATACTGGTAGCCAGATTTTGTTCATTTTCATGGTCTCTTCCTTTCTGTTGAAATTGTCCACATGCTTGTGGATTTCAATGGCTTCTCTGTGTAGTCTGACATGGTGGTTGTTGGTGTGGTCCAGCATTTCTGTGTTCTCAAATAATATGCTGTGTCCAGGCTGGTTCATCAGGTTCTCTGCTATGGCTGACTTCTCTGGTTGAAGTAGTCTGCAGTGCCTTTCATGTTCCTTGATGCGTGTCTGGGCGCTGCGTTTGGTGCTCCCTATGTAGACTTGTCCACAGCTGCATGGTATACGGTAGACTCCTGCAGAGGTGAGAGGATCCCTCTTGTCCTTTGCTGAACCTAGCATTTGTTGGATTTTCTTGGTGGGTTTGTAGATTGTTTGTATGTTGTGTTTCCTCATCAGCTTCCCTATGCGATCAGTGGTTCCCAAAACTCCAACCATCCCCCAAGTCAAAAAAGAAGCACCATTAAAGCCTTGGCAGACCGTGCAAAAAGAATCTGCGAACCCCACCTCCTCCAAGATGAACTGAACCACCTCAACTGGGCTCTCCAGGCCAATGGATACTCCACCTCAGACATCAGAAGAGCTGCAAGACCAATAACAAGCCACGAGAGTAAAGATGAAGATCCACCCAGAGGAAAAGTGTTCCTGCCATACATCAAGGGAACCACTGACCGCATAGGGAAGCTGATGAGGAAACACAACATACAAACAATCTACAAACCCACCAAGAAAATCCAACAAATGCTACGTTCAGCAAAGGACAAGAGGGATCCTCTCACCTCTGCAGGAGTCTACCGTATACCATGCAGCTGTGGACAAGTCTACATAGGGACCACCAAACGCAGCGCCCAGACACGCATCAAGGAACATGAAAGGCACTGCAGACTACTTCAACCAGAGAAGTCAGCCATAGCAGAGCACCTGATGAACCAGCCTGGACACAGCATATTATTTGAGAACACAGAAATGCTGGACCACACCAACAACCACCATGTCAGACTACACAGAGAAGCCATTGAAATCCACAAGCATGTGGACAATTTCAACAGCAAGGAAGAGACCATGAAAATGAACAAAATCTGGCTACCAGTATTAAAAAACTCTAAAATTATAACAGCTAAACAACAGAGAGGAAAAAACCAGGCACAGATTAACACCTCCCAGCAACAGATTTTCCCAGGCTCAGGCAGGCCTTCAAATGCTAATGAAGGTGATCAGCTAACATTCACACCTAACTGCAGCAGGGAAGAGCTCCTTGCCCCACCCCAGCCATTCCACAGATATATAAACCTTTTTCCTACTTCCAACAGACCTCACAACCTCTGAGGATGCTTGCCATAGATGCAGGCGAAACGTCAGGAGAAATGCCTCTAGAACATGGCTCTATAGCCCGAAAAAACCCACAAGAACCTAATTACAGCCATTGTTTACTCATTCTTCAGAGGGTAAGTGAGAAAATGAAGATTTCTCCCTTTTTCACCCTTACAAATAATAATAATAATAATAATAATAATAATAATAATAATAATAATAATAATTATTATTATTATTTAGACCCTGCTACCATCTCCCCGAAGGGACTCGGGGTGGCTCACAAACTCACTTCAAAGTCCTGCATATAAAACAGACAATACATAGCATATAAAACAGCAACAGAAGTCTAAAAAATAATTACACACATAAACCAATATGAAAAAATGTAAAACTCCTAAATTGCAGTAGAACCCGCAAATAAGGCTGGCTATCTGCAATTAACAACTCAAAGTGCCAAAGTAAGCAGTCGCTGAATCCTCAATCTGACCCTGGATTACACAAGGTCAAAAGCTTGTTCTAAAGAGCCATGTTTTTAAACTAGCTCAAAGGGCTTGGAAGGTGGGGGCTAACCTAATCTCTCTAGGGAGATTATACATGCCTTTCTCTCTCAGGAAAATGGCTTGGGATGAAGGGAGAAGAGGGAAATAGTTACTTAGGAACAAGATTATTTGCCCTGAGGCTGCTTCCATCCCTGATCTCAGGGATTCGTGGATTATAGCACCCACCAGTTCTTGTCAGTAGTCAAGAGGGAAGGGTGTTGGCAGAGGAAATCTAGCAGGACCACAAACCCTTTTCTATTTAGTATCACATCTAACTGTGAGACAAATGTTCTAAGCAATAAAGGAGGCAGAAGAAGAGAATGTTATGGCATCACAGGTCATTCAGATTCAGCTCATCAGCTGTCACCTGCTTGCTGTAACATGGCTTATGATAAAATATTTACATTTAAATCCAATTGCTAGTCCCACTGCAGTAGACAGAATGAACCAATTACATGATGGGTAGTTTAAAACGTTCCCACTAATTCAGTGGATCTCCTGCAATTGGGATTGGAGAACAGAAATACCATTAAAATGTTAAGTCCTCTTTTACACCCAATATTGGAATTCACTGATATTCCAGAATATTGCTTTCCCCAGTGATAGTTAAAATACAACTGGAAAACAGTGAATGCTGTTTTAAAATTCAAATTTTAGCCCATATGCAATGGTGATTCAGTTGTTGCTAAGCACTGTCAGTGAGCATATCTATTTTCTCCCACGAACAATAAAGCCGACCCGACATTCGAATGGAAATGCTCTAACATTGGAGTCAGTAATTTGCTGACTGCAATTCATAGTTAATTGTGTAAAGCATGTAATTTTAAATTGCCCCAGTCGGAGAGAGAAACAAAAAGAAAAACATGCATTTCAAAGCAACCACTTAAAAGAGAACAAGGATGGAAAGATTTTTAAAAAATCTGAAACTTAGTGTATGAAAGTGATATTAAGGACCGATCATTTGGAAACAGAAACATATCAAACATTACAGTTTTAGCTGTTTAGTTAGCGATTCTGCAAATGGGTATATCATAAAAGAGCTAGGATTGGAAGAAGAACATTACTGCCTGTAAACTTAGAAATTACGTTGAATTTGTGTCTGAGCAAAGAAATTAAATGACCCACTAAATTATATATATTGTCGAAGGCTTTCATGGCCAGAATCACTGGGTTGTTGTGTGTTTTCCAGGCTGTATGGCCATGTCCCAGAAACATTCTCTCCTGACATTTCACCTGCATCTATGGCAAGCATCCTCAGACCATACAACCTCTGAGGATGCCTGCCATAGATGGCGAAACATCAGGAGAGAATGATTCTGAAATATGGCCATACAGCCCGGAAAACACACAACAACCCATTAAATTTTACTTTGGAATTCAACAAAGGGACAAACTCAAGGCCTCACCTTGAGTTTGTATTTAGCCGTCTGAATATTATAAGAATAAATATTAAATCAGCATATCTCGAAACGTGTCATTAGGCGCTTCTAAGGACATGCAAGACATTAGCAAGGAATGTCTGAACCATTCCGCATGAGTGAGAAACTAGTTGTTCCCAGCTCCATCATCCCCAGCAATGTCTGGAAGCTGACAGGACAAGGTCAGTTTCACCATTTTTCAAGGCATTAGTCTAGAAATAAAAACTGACATAATGAGAAGGATGACAGAGAAGGATGCAAAATGAGTGCCAGTCACACATAAGGAGATTAAGAAAGAGAAAAGAAGGATCAGAGGGACAACAAAATTGCAAACAAATAAGGTCATATGGAAGACGCAAAGATTACTTAATGTTTTGGCTGAAGGAGTGGTGCTTCCATCTATCTTTCTATCACAAAATAAAGGCAAAGGGAGGATGGATTGGAATGTTGTATGTGGAAAAAAGAACTCACTTATTGATTTCTTTGAGAATAGCAAGAGAAAGTTGTTTTATTCAAAAGCATGGCTTTGTGAGTGGACTGAAAGACAGACAAAACAGGAAACACATTTAGAAAAAAAAACCCCTTCTCTTTGAAGTGGTTATAAGGACTGACATCATTCCTTTGGATAATGGAATAGAAGAACCCCTACCATAAAAAGGAAATGTTCACATTTTTTCAATTATTTCCAATGATTTTGCTTTACAAAACCAACTGCAGCTTTCCTTTGAGTCCACTGTTGGCAGCACAGCAGGGAAGAGTGAAAATAATAACACACTTTATAGTACAATTGCAATATAACTAGAACACAAGATTCCTCTGGTCTATTGAATGCCCATTACTTACAGAATTATTATGAGAGAGAGAGAGAGAGACAGCGAGAAAGCAAAACTGAACAGCGCCCCTTACATTTCCTTAAAATTATTATCTTCTAAATAAGACTTACCTCAATCACTCTGGAGTCAAACCCTTCATATGTTTCTGTTGGGAAAAAAAGATGTGCATCAGCAGTATCCAAATGAAAATATATGGTTTTTCAAAAATAATTTTGTAATACTTATAGCCAGTGTAATGTAACAGTTTGACGTTGGACCCTGCTGATGACTAAGGTTTGAATCGCTGCTTGGCCATGGGCAAGTCACACTTTCTCACCCTCAGAGGTGTCCCAACTCAACCACGGACCCCTCTGGTGATACTCTTTCTGTGTTTAAGAAGGCAGAAGTAAATCTCCTTTGAATAAATAGATTTGCCTTACAGTTGCCATAAATTGGAAACATTTTGATGGCATACAACAAGAATACAACAAGAATACTTATACTGGCTATAATAATATTTCTGAAGTTTATATCAATGACATTACTTATTATTTATTTATTTATTTACTTCATTTATATACCGCTTTTCTCAGCCCTTGGGCGACTCAAAGCGGTTAACATAAAAACAGTTAAAAACAATTAAAATAATAACATAATAAACAGTTAAATATCAATATAACATCTCATTAGCTGTATTCTTTTAGTTATGAAACAGCCCTTTAATTCAGCTTACACCAAAAGCGACACTTTATCTTTTATTTACAAAAATATACATTCAAATCTCTGATCATGTCCGTTCACATCTCAGCAAGCTGCATAGATCACATTACACAGCTCAGAGCTCCTTTTCTGGTCTACACAGGAAACTCCAAAAGCGACACTTTACCAGTTCTACACCTCTTTATAGTTTTAACTCATGTATTTCTGAAACCTTCCAGTTTAAACTATTAGTAATTTTCATACCAGAAAACATTACATACTGACAAAAGTCTCCACTCTGAAATAATGCATATAGGAAAACAAACTGCAAAGTACTGAGCTGCTTAGGATGAGAACATCAGTAACAAAACTTTGAAAATGGCTTTGTAGATAACAGGCAGCCATTTCTGCTATTCTAAAATTTATTATATTATGACTAGGTCTGAATGAAACATGATCAAGCCACATGGGGAAGATTTGCTCATGCAGATGTCCTAACTGGCTACTGACTTATTTCAAAGGTCATTTACATGCTTCAGCACATCTGAGATAAAATAAAAAACAACCTCAGGATGCATTTACATTCTAGAGTTAATGCAGTTTTACAGCACTTTAACTGCTATGGCTCAATGCTAAGGAATCCTTGGCATTATAGTTTTCTCTGGCAACTGACCAAACTACAACTTCCATGGTTACACAGCACTGAGCCATGGAAGTTAAAAGTGATGTCAAACTGTATTAATTCTACAGAGTAGGTGCAGCCTGAGTCAGATAAAAAGCCTATGCTAGAAGTAGACAATGGCTGCTATCTGGAAGTTTCTGGAGTGTATCTTCCATCACACCTAGCTATTATAATCCATGAAGAGGGATTATTGACGTTAAAGTCAAAAATACCTGGAGGGACACATTTGATGACCCCATTGTTATTTGCCTTCAAGTCAACTCTAACTTTGGCAGACATACCACAGGGTTTTCTTGGTCAGATTTATTCAGAGGGAGTTTGCCACTGCCTTCTTTGAGGCTGAGAGAGTGTCACCAGAATAATCCATGGTTAAGTAAATCCTTAGACCAACACTCGAGCCACTATATAATGCTAGCTCTTGATCATTCATCAACCTCTTCTAAAGTTCTATTTGTTTTGGAAGCCACCGTGGGTCCTACTCTGGGAGAAAGGCAGCACACAAATGCAATCAATCAATCTATCATGACAGAAACTAATAAGGAGGATGGCAGGCATTTTAAAAAAATATCAAATGGAACTGGTGAGATGGATGAAGTCCAAATGCTGCTCCTTTTCATTTTTGTAAAGTTTGCAATGTATTTTAATGGGCATGCTATGTTATGAAGCAGATTGGTTATGGGGAATGACATTTTTGGCAAAACTTTGAGCTCCTTCCTTGCACGCATTGTTGGCCAAAGGAATGCTGTAAGCTGACTGAGCAATAATGCATAGATCACAGAATATTTTGATACTAACAGGAGCAGCCAGGCTATAAATGGGTTGCTTCTGCCATGTTGAGACTATAGTAGAACATTATTATTTTGAATGACAAACTATCAGTTGGCTGTAAATCAAAGGAAATTAATGGGTACAGGACCAAAAAAAACCAAAAAAAAAACAAAAACCTATGCAACTCTCTAAATGACCAAAAATTGTCTCTCTGCCCCACTCATCATAAAGAATTCAACCAATTTATGTAAGCCACAGGTCACAAAAAGAAATACACTGAAACTTTCCATTGGTGTGATTAGAGAAGGGATGATAGAGATTTGGGAAACAAGACATTTGCAGATTGCCAAGATAGGGAATCATAATGGTATTACTTGATATTAAATGTTATCAGTTTTTTGAAACCCAAAGGGATTCAATTCAGTGATAAAGCCCAAGATGTGCATGAAGAAAGTCTTGGACTCAATCCTGGGCTATCCAGAAAAGCATCTTATACAGCTACCCCAGGACCCTAGAATAGTCTTCCACAACCTAGTGACCTCCAGATGTTACAGCTCTGGAGCTCATCCACAGCCTGCATAGTGATGATGAAGTGTGTTGAGCTCCTGACAAACAAAACAGAAGCACTAGACGAAGTAATCAATGGTGTAAGTCAATGAAGACTATTTCATGACTCTTTTGCTTGATGATTACATTTTCTTTATGTTTTCCTTTTATCTGCATTTTAATATTCTCCACTATAAATGGCTTTGAGCAACTAGAACAGTGGTATATCATTAATCTTTAATATGCTCGTGCACTACCAACTGACAGTTTTCAGCAGACAAATATAATAAGGTTCCACATTATCTAAAAATTCAATAGTCTGTGTTTAATAAACCATCATCCATAACTTAATTTAAAATGTTTAAAAATGTTCTTTTAAGACGTATTTTCCTAGTTTCTGCAGGTCTGAATTTAAGCATAGTAGCCCAAGATGGAGGATTTGTAAGTAGCAGAAATGCAAATTCCAGCTACTATTCAAACAATTCAATTAATATTATGAACCATATGCATCTGTTAGCCATAATTTCAATGGATTTACAGTATTGTGAAGATGGAGAAAGAACAGCCTGTGAACAGCCAGGGCCATTTTTGTCAATCGGAGGGTACAAAAACCTTTCTACATCAGTGTCATTTCCTGTTGTAAAAGAGGTTTACCTAGAGAATAAAATTGAGCAAAAAGAGCCAAAAATATGGGGGGGGGGCATTCACTGCAGAAGGATACAGTGGTAAGACAGCTGTATTGATTACATGGCTCTTTTAACTAATTCTATTTTAATAGAGGTTGTTTTATCCAATTTATATACCTGGTTTATGTAATGTATTATTGTTTCCATGTTGATGTATTTTATTTTATGTATTATGTATTTCATGTATGACATTGTGTGCTAGTTTGTAAGCCACCCCGAGTCCCTATGGGAGGTGGTGGTGGGGTATAAATAAAGTAGTAGTAGTAGTAATTGTTGTTACTACTACTACTACGGAACATGACAAGATCCTGAAGTATAAGTATGTATCATTGAATACTAAAGTTGGAATTGCCTATGACATTGTATTTCCCATTTTTATATATGGCTGTAAAAGCTGGACAATGAAGAAAGCGGACAGGAGGAAAATAAATTTATTTGGAATGTGGTGAGGGAGAAGAGATGTCAATTGGTTCAAGAGCAAATCAAGCCTGAACTCTCCCTAGAAGCTAAAGTGGCTAAAGTGAGACTGTGATACTTTGGCCGTATTATAAGAAGATATGACTCACTAGACAAGACAATAGCATTTGGGACGACTGAGGGCTTTAGGAAAGTGGAGAATGCATTCCAGCTGGACAGAAAGACTCAAGGGAGCCATGGCCCTGAATCTGCAAGAGAGGGTGTCTACCAGGACTCTCATTTATACGTTCACTATAAGTTGAAGTTGACTAGATGACATTTAACAACATACTCTCAGCAGGTTTTGGGCCTAGTTCATTGTCTTCCATCTTGTTCTCCTAGATGTTCCTCAAATATTGCCCAAGGCTTTCATGGACGGAATCACTGGGCTGCTGTGAGTTTTCTTTTCCAGAAGCATTCTCTCTTGATGTTTTGCCCACATCTATGGGAGCATCCTCAGAGGTTCCTCAAATGACTTCAACTACTAAAGCATACTATGCCACATATATTATATTACAGTTCTAGCTAGGCTTTTTCAGTTTGTTTTTTTCCAAATGTTTATTACTGGACAAAAGCAAAATAGACACAGCAAATCTGCCAACAGCAATTGACAATTCTTAGAACACAAATGGCAGTCCAAATGGGAGGTTATACAATGCCCAATCTGATCTGGAGTATTATAAATACAATTAACATGGAGAAAAGTAAAGACATCAAAAAGTGATGTGAGTTACATGTGCTCCAAGCTGGTTTGGCACATGATGCCCCTGCTGCTGTATATATTGCAATGACAGAAGGGGGGGGGGCAGCTTTTGCTTTAAAACAAAATGCATACTTCTCACACACCATATTTACAAATAAACTGTTGCTTCTAGACTGAAGTTCCAATGATAAACAATCCTTAGAAGAAGCACATATTTTGCTTCATAAAAAATGTGTTCTTATTTCACAACCTATATAGCACCACACACATCCTCAAGGCTCAGAAAGTGTCCAATCTGATCTAAATTTTAACTCTGCCTTATGTGGAAGTGACGTATTTTTCAAACCCATCCCTGATTTTTTAAATGATAACTGAACTTCTTAGATCAGTCTTCTATATATGTGTGTTTGTCTCTTGGTGCTAGCATTATATAAATATATAATTAATAAATATTTTACTAAAAAATAAATCAAATACAACACATCCGCAGGAACTTCTTTCCCTTCATTTCACTAGTCTCCCACTGACATTCCATAGTTACCTTACCTCCATTGGGGCCTGGATCAGGAGGTCCCAAACTGATTCCTCCCCACGAGCTTCCCGTCCAGCCTCTCTCCCGCTTCACTTTAGTTTTTCTCCTCTTCTCCCACTCGTCTCGCTTCTGGATCCTCTCAGCCTGCAGCTTCTCCTGCTCTTCTTTATTGCGCTGGCTAACTGCCTGCATTGTTCCTTGTTTCATCACTGGAGCATTGAGGCCAGGCCAAAGGAAACCTGAACGTCCTAACGATATCAGTACACAAGATTATCTGTCATTTTACATTCATTCTGCTATCAGTTTTCACATGTCAAAGTCCAAAAGACCTCTTGTTCAAAGCATTTCGGATAAGCAACTCAACCTGTAATTTTCTTAAATAAGGCAAGGAAATATTAAATGAGAACAAAGGATAATGGTATGCACAAAATCTCTTTACAGTCAAGTTCATTTAACTGCCTTGAAGACCTCCACTGGGAATTGAAGGAGGATGTTTCCCCCAGATTGAATCTGAAACTTCCCAGTCCTTGTTTGACACTGCAAGCACTATCCCAGAATGGTTCTTATATAACTGAATGGATGGAATTCATTCCCAAAGAGAGAGAGAGAGAGATGTTACCCTTGCAGTGAGGACAAAATGCTCAGTGAGCTGATAAAGATCCCCAGAGGTTGGATCTCAAAGCACTCCAGCCCCCTCCCTTTGATTCAAATTGGGCTTTTCATCCACACACCACTTGTGCAATCAAATATCAATTTTGCTGGTTCAAAATAGTTATTAAATAAATTTAAAAGCCCCAATAGAAATTGGTGCCCCCATAATGTGTAGTTTGAGGGACAAGTGGATGGAGAGGGGAGAAGATCCACATGGCTGTCCTGAATCAAACCCAAAATGCATAAAGATGAGCTTGCCTCCCTTTTGTCAAAGATTGGAAATGTATTAAAGGCAGCCACGGCAGCTAACGATTTTGTCTAGACATTCCAGACATTTGCACACTCACAAGCTTTCCACACTCACACATCCTGCCATTTTATTTTCAAATTAAAACTCATCAGTCTGTGTTCACAACACATATACATCTTTGTATATGTGTTTTTATGTTCTTGACTCCTGAAAGGATTTGCAAATCAGTTTTTCAAACTTCTATTGAATGTGGGGTTCCCTCTAGCATACCAGTTATCTCTTCCTTTTTTCTCAGTGCACCCACTTTGCTTGCAATACTTGCAATACTTGAGTTCACAATTACAGGGCATGATATAAACGAAGACCTTTCTGCAGTCTTATTTCAAGAATTTACCTTCCCCAATGACCTGGCCTATGTTGAGATCCTTCTTTAGTTTTTTCTTGGTTCTCTTTCCTCTTCCTTTCCTTCCCCCTGCGCCGCTCTCTGCCAAAACTCCTTTCCAGAGTTCATCGGCTGTCACTGTGATAAAATAGAAGACATGCATAATTCATCTGGATGGAAATTCCTATTAACAGCAGCTCAGAGGGAATGGGGGGAAAATAATGTGTTCAGGTGTCATTTAATCTAAGCCTTGTCAACCCAACTGTGTCTGAAAAAAACTGTTAACATGCTGGTTGGGACAAGTTTGCATTTTCTTTGTTTTGTACTGATGCCATTTAAGTGGAATGAAAACCAAGTTTGTGATCTTATATGGGTCTGCAGGTGACCTACTATTTAGGCCCTGGATACCTAATTGTTATAGGCTCTCACTTCCACAAGAATCCTGAATGGACATAATTTCTACATGGACTCTAATGTATGGAGAACACAGCAAGCAGAGATAGGCCAGTATATTTTAGTGCCTATGGCAAAGAACAAGCTGGTAACCCTTTTATAACCCTAAATCTATCAGACTAGCAGTTGATTTTTTTTTTAAAAAGTGGCAACAGGACAATGTTCTTTACTTCACTTGTAGACACAAGACTTCCCATCCAACACCTTGTGTTTATTTCTAGCATCAACTACTTGAGATAATGCCTAAAGATAAATTATCCCTGATCCCAGTTGAACATGTACTTCTTCATGGCTAGTTTCCCCCTTTAGGTCCTTCTTCCTGCCCTTTCCCTATTGGTTAGGGTTCTAAGCTGTGCTCACATTCCTTCTTAGCCCTATATTTCCCAGTTTTTGTATTTCCAAGTGTCTGCCCCCTTCCCCCCTTCACGCTGCTAGGAATTCATATTATTCAGCCATCTTTTTGGACACTTGCAATCTCAATGTATATGACGGAGTGGAAACAAAATTATACCAGCAATACATTCCTGTATCAACTCAGAAGTATAAAGGGCTGCAAAACCGATCCCAAAGTCAGCCATGTACATATTTATTTTCAACAAGATGTTTTTTCACTATGTGAAACAAAATGATGCAAAGTAATCAAGTCTGATGCAAGAATTACAAAAAGAGACATTTCGCATAACAAACAATAATACTGTTCTCTTTTGAAAACAATGCTGATCCTTTCATGGAGGCCATTTCAACCCTTGAGTGCCATTAAAATGGTATTTGCCTGCTTGTTTTAGGTTGAATGGACAAATAAGAATTGGTGCAGAGCTTCAGAAGTGGAATGGTATTTTCAGGTTGTCATATGTATGGAGGTGATTCCTGAGAAATTCTGATTTAAGATTATTAGGTCTTAATAAAGGGCAAGGTTAGCATCTTGCATTAAATCCAGGAGTATCTTGGTTACCAGAACAACTATTATAAAGATCATTTTAATTTGAATCTACCAACTATCTCCAGTCCTCCAGGAATGCGTCACACAAAGTAAATCACCATGAGGTAAAAGTGGCTACAGCATGAAGGGCTTAGGGCTTTATTATATGAAGCCGCAATTCCACAGCAATTTTTTTTATCACCAATAGTGGGACATGAGAAAAGCCTCCCACAGGATGGTAACACAGATGCCCAAGTCTTTCACACCAAAAGCTGACTTGCTTCTGACACAATAAAAAATCATCAATACTAACAATGAGCACCTTTGCTATTGCACATCTCTGCATTTCTGCGACTGTACCACTTTGCTAACTTATAGTTCATACTCTTACTTCTGCATAACCTAATAACTCCATTTTGTTAATGTTCTGTAATTTTTAAATATGTTTTAAAAAAGCAATTTCACAATTTCAGCTGTATTTATTTTTTTAAAAAATCCAAATAAAACTTATAATGGAAAAAATACTGCCTCAAGAATAGTTGGGTATGGCAGTGGGAGACAGGGAGTATCCCACAATCTTGCTATTACATCAGTACTGGTATGCTGGCACAGAAGAGGAAAAGCTCCATCCTTCCAGGTAAGAGATGGGAACATGGTGTTCTCTGCAACTATTGGTGAGTTTTCACATCAATAGCAGGGGTGGGTTTATCATGGGAAGGAGACAGATGAGCAATGAGATGTGCACTGCTTCAATGCTTGTCTGCCTCTTTTGTGCGATAAAGTCTACAGACTAGATTCATCTAGGATTTCCTCCATATGGCAGGACACAAACAAGGTATGAAGATAGGTTCTTGTGGGTTTTTTCGGGCTATAGGGCCATGTTCTAGAGGCATTTCTCCTGACGTTTCGCCTGCATCTATGGCAAGCATCCTCAGAGGTAGTGACCTCACTACCTCTGAGGATGCTTGCCATAGATGCAGGTGAAACGTCAGGAGAAATGCCTCTAGAACATGGCCCTATAGCCCGAAAAAACCCACAAGAACCTAGTGATTCCAGCCATGAAAGCCTTCGACAATACAAGGTATGAAGATTTTTGCATTGAGATCAATTCATGGCAAAATTACCTCTGATTGGGAGAAAAATCTTCATTTTACTCTAGTGGTCCTTTCTTAGTTTCCTTTTTGATCTGCAACTTTCCTAGGCGCTCTAGTTTTCCTTTCCTTTGGCACTCTGAATTCAATATTCAGCTACTTTCCCTCCTCTCCTATCAACGACATGAATCATACCTTCTGAAAAAGCTGTAACTCCCCACTGTCCCTCTTCCAGAGTCAAGGTGAAGAGAAGAGAATCAATTCACAGTTTGTGGTGACGATACTGATAAGTGCTACTTCAAGTCTCTTGCAGCACTTCATGCCGTGACACTGCATAGCCAGCATGAAAGGGAATCGATCATTTCATGTAATTTCCCCAAAAATTGAGTACAGAACTCCTAACTAGCCACAGGCACAGCAGAAGGCTCTAACACAGTTTATCATGGAAACTGAAGGATGCACAAGGCATTTGACTCCTTGCAGTGAATATAACAAGTAGAAGTGTACACAGTTTGTCATGGAAACCGAAGCAAGCACAAGGCATTTGACTCCTTGCAGTGAATACAACAAATAGAAGTGTACACAGATTTTAATCAAGAATGACAGCTTTATTCAAAGCATATAAGCTGCACATAGGATGTTTGACAGACACAGAGGAAAGTTCCACAAAGGTTGCTCCAAGATAGAAGTTAGAAGGTTCAAGCACTGTGTACAAAAACTTACATTTGTTGAAAAAGCTGCTTTGCCTGCAGGGTTGTATTGCGATGTTATAAGGCGTAGAAACATAGCAAATTGTCTGTGAAGCACACGCCAAGGTAGTATATTGACAATTGGTTCCATACCATGAAATCAGGGTGCAGCCTGGGGACAAAACCAAAATAGCATTATTCTAAATATCCTTAAGGTTTCAAAAACTAATTACAGGAATAGGAACTAATTAATCAATTAATGAACATGTATATGGCAGTACTTTTCAAGAAAAAAATAAATATTGCTTTGTTTGGGGGACAATAATAATAATAATAATAATAATAATAATAATAATAATAAACTTTTATTTGTATATGGCTCTATCTCCCCGAGGGGACTCAGGGCAGTTTCCAGCATAGGTAAAGCATTCAATTACTGACATACAGAATAACCATTATACAACGTAGACATAATACTATAGACATAACAGTCTTACATAGTTAAAATTAAACAACCAGTCCCAGAACTAATTTCCATTGGACAAAAGTTCATCTACCAATGGCCAGAATTTCAGAGTGGGGCTAGACAACTATGAGAGGGCCGGTACAACGAAGTAGCCTACAGCCAGAGGATCACAGAATCATAGAATCAAAGAGTTGGAAGAGACCTCATGGGCCATCCAGTCCAACCCCCTGCCAAGAAGCAGGAATATTGCATTCAAATCACCCCTGACAGATGGCCATCCAGCCTCTGCTTAAAAGCTTCCAAAGAAGGAGCCTCCACCACACTCCGGGGCAGAGAGTTCCACTGCTGAACGGCTCTCACAGTCAGGAAGTTCTTCCTAATGTTCAGATGGAATCTCCTCTCTTGTAGTTTGAAGCCATTGTTCCGCGTCCTAGTCTCCAAGGAAGCAGAAAACAAACTTGCTCCCTCCTCCCTGTGGCTTCCTCTCACATATTTATACATGGCTATCATATCTCCTCTCAGCCTTCTCTTCTTCAGGCTAAACATGCCCACTTTATTTCGGTCATTGACCAGCACAGGAAATAGTGTCACATTTCCATACAAACCTGGCATGTTTGGTACATTAAAAATATAAATATAACTACTAAAAACACAATATGGGTGAGGGAGCAGAAGGGGAAACAGGGTAAAAACATACAATGCCCAGATCCATCACCAAATTGTAGATTCAGGGAAGAAGATTACTGGACACACAGTTGACTTTTGGAACTAGTCATTCCCTGGCGGATTTTGTATGCTGCTGCACAGAACTTTGCGACATTGTAGGTTGTAGCTGAATTAGTATCCGCAAGTAGCAGGGAGGTATAAAATTGTCCTGAATGGCCTGGGTGCTTGTCTATCAGGTAAGATAAGCCTGGCACGGGTATCCCTGTAGAACGGACACTGAAGGAGCACATGTTCTATTGTTTCCACATGACCCGAGTCACAGGGGCAGAGTCTCTCTGGGAAAGGGATCTTCCGGTAGCGGCCCTCGAGTACAGCTGATGGGAGAGCGTGGCATCGGGCCAGGGTGAAAGCCCTCTGATGAATAGGAACCTCTAAGTATGTTAAATATGGCATAGGGGAGGCAAGGTATCTGCTGTCTTCACTGACAAGGAAGGTTGGAGCCGAGGCCAGATCTAGTTGGCGCTCTGTGTCTGTGATACGTTGTTTAATAAGTGCTTTGGCTTGATTGTAATCCATAGCTAATAGTAGACCTGGAGAAAATCCCAACGAGGAGATTTTGGATGCTACCGCCTGCTTCCATGTGGATTGGAAGTCATCCTCCATGGTTAGTGGGGCAAGGCCATGGGGTGCACGGGACAGTCTGAGCCAGAGGTTAAGTATGGCCACCCACACCCTGGCCTCCACTCTCATAAAACCTGTCTCTAGTCGCAGGGTGGCATTAGAAACACATTTAGGTACCTGCAAGGCCGATCTCAGAAACTTGGACTGAACCACCTCTAATGGGGCAAAACTGGGGAAGGGGCCCAGCTGAGCACCATACAAGAGTTGGGCTAATGACTTGGCTTCAAACAGCTTGAGCGCTGCCGGTGTGAAGTGGCCCCCTCTTGTCCTGAGATATTTGAGAATGGCAATTGAGCTCCCCTGCGCGGTGTTGGATACTTGATCCCTATGAGCTCTTCTGCTACCATTAGTTTGAAAAACTACACCTAGATATTTGAAGGATGTAACTTGTTCAATTTTATGACCATCTATGCTCCAAGAGTAAGTCCTGGGCCTATTAGCGAAAGCCATGATTTTGGTTTTATTGTAATTGACATTGAAATAAGTACAGTCTGAAGATAGCTAGTGTCTTTGAATACAAATAAGAGAGAAAGCATCTTTTTAAAATATGTTTTTATTGCATAACAATTAATATAAACAAAAAAAACTCTAAATCACTGGTAACAATTTAACATAACCTCAAACAATTGGTCACACATAATATTTAACCCCCTTTACTTACCCCCTTTACTATACGCATAAGAGAAAATTAAAAATTCTCACCCTCTAGATCAAAGATTTGTATGAAAAAAAACTATCATCTTAATACTACTTAACATTCATAGTCATATTTTCTACCTAATAGAGAAGAAAATTAGACATAATCTTCGAAACTCACAGGCATCCTCAGATTTTCTTTTTCTCTAAGTAAGTTAAGAAGGGTTCTCAGACCGTAAAAAATTATTTAAAGACTTCTCTTTAATCATTTTAGATAATTTGTCTATTTCTGCCTTCTCAAACATCTTCAAAATGCATTCTTCTTTTTCTGGGACATTTAGATTTTTTCATTTCTGAACATAAAGGAACCTCACTGCTGGAAGAAGGAAGGAATCTTATGAGTCCTTTAAGACTGATGGCATCAGGCATGTAGCCGGGGGGGGGGGGGG